TTTTTAAATTATGAAAAGCCCGTACCCTTATAAGAAACTACTTGCCATCCACATGGAAACAAGACGAAAAGATAGTGAGGTTCTTTACAAGATCATCCAAGGGGAAAAAGAAGCCATTTTTCTACCCCTTTCAAATATTCTAAAAATTAAAAAAACTTATCCTTTTTTTTCTGTAGGGGGTAAAAACACGTGATTCTTGACGATCCGGGTAATTGGACAATCCGATCGTTAGAATAATTGAAGCTCTACTCTATATTTATAAGAACAGGCTTTTCATTAATTAATAAACTAATCGAAATAGAATTTTAAAAATGCGCAATACAATTTCAAATAAAAATACATTTAGACTAAGAACTACAGATATTTTCGGACTTTGGCCGAAGGTCTTCGCTAAATATGTAGCAAAATTTTTCATTGAAAATTTGATTTCAAATAATTTTGGCTACTACGGCGTTTAAATAATTCAAAACTTCACTGTACAGTGTTAAAAAAAAAGGAATAACTTTTGATCCAATGATCAGATTTTCATGTACTAAGACTCATAATTAATGGTTCACGGGGAACTTCAAATATGCTAATTAATTTAGGTAGACGATATTTTAAATTATAAAGTCAAACACAAAAAGTGTACTTACTCAGAATAAGCATACTTCTTTTTTTTTGATGGATTTGGATTCTGTCCCCTCAAAATATGGGTGGGGGCCGGGCACTGCAATCTCAATCTGAGAAATAAGACCCCAATAGTTTAGGATAGCGATCCCAAGTTTGGACCCCTTAAAGGTCATTTGGCTTTTTGCGTATTTCGTCATATCTCGACGAGTTTTAAGAGAATTGAAACATTTTTGAAAATAATTATAAACTTTGTTTATCCAAAGATTATTCCGTTCAAAAGTTAATTTTTAATAGTTATTATTTTTTTTATCATTCTATAAAATAAAAATCGAAAAAATTTTGAAATGTTAAGTATACATTTTTTACTTCATTTTACAGAATGTAATTTTATTTGACAAAATGCAAAATTTGATTAAAATCCGACAAATAGTTTCTGAGAAGTCTAATTATAACATTTTTAATGTTTGAGTTTTAATTAGATGAATTTTGCGATCTATATAGGATTATTCAAATCATCAATCATCATGCGATCGAATCAACCAACCACATAAGCGTATTAACTTTATAACTTATAGCCAAAATAGAAAAATTATATCGCGTAATTTTTTCAAGTTTTTATAAATTTTAAGTACCTGCGCAAACAGAAGATACTTATCTATTTAAAAAAAATCTTATGCATTTTTTATTTTTATTACAATAATCAACTTTTCCGCATTATAACGTTCCGAAATTCGCAAATTTATTTTTTACACCCCCTCTGTTCTTAACATTTCATTATCACCTTCAATTTAAAAAAAAAATATTTAAATTATTTTTCTACCATTTAATATTTTAAAATGATGTTTATATAAATATTAAAGTTTTCCTTAAATATAAAATGTCTTAAGAGTTTTTTTGCAGTCTTACAGAAAGCTAGTAATTCTAGCTGGAATAAAATGTAACATTCATTCTTTTCGAGAATGGATTTTCCAAGTTGTAGTAAAACAATTACCAAACAACAGTTTTACTCAAAAAGATATTTAATCAGAGTGAAATTCGCTATCGTGAGGACCAATATGCTTTTCATATATTTGTTGTAATTATTTATATGTAGTGGTGGTCAAACTCATTTATAATTATTAATGTAATTCAAAAAGTTAAGTGAAATAACATGAATTTTGCTAGCATTTTAAATATGAAAAAAAAAATCTTCCTGGAAAACCGGAAGAGTTGGCAGGTATGCATTCTTTAGATTATCCGTATTGAATTCATGGGTGAAAACCAGACGGAAGAGCTGATACTAAAACCATTTAAATTTTAACTATAGTCTTAGGGAAGAATTAAACAATTCTCCTTTTTTAAACTATCCAAGAATATTTACTTTTTTTCTTCGTAAAATTTAAAAAAATCTCATTAGTTACAGAAATGTAATTTTTCTAGAATGAAATGTTTTTCGTACCAGTTTTTGCTCCTTTCCGTCTTGGTATATATAGGCTTTCAGCTCTGAACGAAAGAGTCGAGTCTCACTCGTCAAATGTATCCAAAGGTTAATACGCATTATATTTTGCGATCTTTATTTATGATTTCCACAATAAACGTTAAGGTGACGTTCTGAACCCTAAAAAACCAGAACAAAGTGAAAGCAAAAACAGTTCTGTTATATTAACACTAGGGTTTACGGGACGCGTCATTTTGGCGCATTTCGAGTTTTGTAAGGAAAATTGCAAAACCCGTTTGCATTTTAAGTTTATCTCTTGTAATGACTTTTATCCATTGATCGAGGTAAACATATATTGAAGTCTATTTTCTTCAAAAGCGTTGAAATATTGAAATTCTTTTTGTGGTATTGCCTATCTCTACGGATATGCGTCAATTTGACGCAATCGTAATTTAGACAAAATTTTGAGTAAACATGCAAACATCACATCAATACTAAATAGGAATGTACCGACAATACTTCGATCCGTTATCTGATATTGTTATTTCAAATGAAACAAGCGATAAACAACTGTTGCCGATAAGCAATAATAGAAAGAACAAACGCAGAATGTAAATGGGTGTCAGATTTTCAGTTGCTTAGTATAAGTATTGAAAAATAAAATACTAGAATATTTCATAAATATAAATTTTATGTTTTCATTTTTTTTTCTTATAGTATATATTTACATTGCGTTTTAAGTGCAGAGATGCCAACTGCTGCGGACACGCCAACGTAATTTTTTTAAAAAAGGTAAATAAATACAATGTAAATTTTGCAAATATAAAGTGGTGAATTATATAAGCCTACGAATTATTTAGAAATAGTGGTGGATAAAAATCTTCTAAATTGAATTTATTAAACCAAGAATTAAAATTGATAAACTACTACTTTAAAATATATATTTGCTGTCCGGAGCAGTTGGCATCTCTGAAGTGCTGTTATATGTATTCGTTCATGCTTCAAATTGACGCATGTTCGTAGAGATAGGTATATAAGAATAGTCCGTAAACCTAGTGTTAAATATTATTTACCAAATATAACCTGACACCTTCATTAAATGCTTTGTCATTTATAAGATGTGGTAATTATCAATGGATTATTTCTTTCTGAAATAGACTGACAGCAAAATATTTTAGTCACCACTTCTTATTCATTGGTAATTAATGCATGACGAGTCTCTCTCGTCAAATGTATCCGGGATACATACCTGCCAACTCTTCCGGATTTTCCGGAAGATTTTATTTTTATATTTAAAGTGGTAGTAAATATATACTATTTTTTCTTTTATAAACTTAATTTTTAGATGATTTTGATCACCACTATTCTTACAAAAATAAAGCACATATATTAATATGCGTTACTATCATGGTTGTCAATTTAAGGTTTCTGAAATACAACGTATTTGTTTGCTTAAAATTGAAGTTTTAACTCCATTTCAATACCATTGGGAAAAATGATAATGGAAAGGATTAAAAGTTGGCAGGTATTAAATACGCATTTAGTCGCTTATGGTTCGTAATCGCATTATATTTTGGTATACTTATTTATGATTTCCACAATAAATGTTAAGTCGACGTTCTGAACCCGAAAATGGTCTGATAGATAAATATCCCTGAAAATGTCACATATCTACCTACGTGCGTCAGTCACTAAAGCTCTTAAATTGTAATGCAACTTGCTTCACTTAGTCTCAATTTCTTTTCTAACTTGAGAAAAACTTATTTTTTTAACCCTTAAACGCAGACGGGACACCGGTATCCATATTATATATATATTTTTACGGCCTTTTAATTACAAGCAAAAATATTTTTTGGTATGTTTTAATCATGAATAACAGTCTAATAGTTACTAAAAAATATGTTAGATTATCTGAATTATATTAGTGCTAAATTATAAAAATGTAAAAATAAAATAAATTTAAATAATTTTAAATTTTTTTTTATATTCAATTAAAAAATATTATGAATAATTGATTCCGTAAATCAAAGAAAATTTATATCTCTGTTACATCACTTATAGACTTCTCTCTGCTTATAGTGACTGTCAAATTGTCATTGTGGTAATTAGGACTGGGCGATGCTAAGATTTCAACATCGTGATGCATCGCCACTCAAACATCGCGATGTTACGTTACTGTTTCACATTTGGTTTTGCTTAATTTTGCATTCTCGCACTTTTTAAGCGTTTGATTGATTGATTGTGGCATTTACATCTTGTAATAAACCCAATCCTTAATTATCACATAAAAATTTTTATAAATTTGTCTCATTACTAACAATAAATTATATTAGTAGCCTGTATTCCAATTGGGTCTCCTCATTTTCACTAGTTTCTACAAAATATGATCTTTGTTGTAATTGTCTAATGTCAAGTAAATTTTTTCGACTGAAAAAAAAGGAAGAAACTGGTGATCTCCGCATATAGTCTTATGAATCATATATTAAGAGCAATATAATTGTAACCAGATATTGAAAGCTTATTTTATTAAATAACCATTATTTTGTATTCATTACCTATGCACCTCATTATTTTGCGAACCTTATTATCAAATATTGAAAAGTTATATTACCTTTTCGTAAATCAACTGTACAAAAATGTTGTTCATGAATACTTTCGAGATAAAAAAAGAGGTATGATTATGTTTCTTTAATTTTAATTAATAATTTATTTTATTTGGCATAAAATTTTTATTTACTTTGTATGCATAATAAACAAAATTATATTGAACACAATAACGTGACAAAATAACAAATTATCACGAAATATTATTAGAAAGCCACGTACAAAGTTGTTATGTGTAGTTTAAAAATAAATCATGAAATGATATAAGCATGAGAACAGCTTGTATCAAATAAAAAGAGAGGTTAAATTGCAAATATAACACAAAAATACTTTCAAAGAAAGTAAACTGCAAATCAATACAGAACATTCAAATTAAGTTTTTATTTTGGAATAAAAATACTAGCATTTCCGCATTTTTCGGTAGTAAAGATGCTCTGTGTTTAGTAATTACATTCCCTCCAGTGCTGAAAATTCGTTCGGAAGGAACACTTGATCCTTGAATGGCCAAATATTTTTTTGCAAGAGCTTTTATAATTGGAAAATTGTGCTCATTCAACTTCCACCAGGTGAGTGGGTTTTCATTCAGGCCTATTTTAGGCATGGATAAATAATTTTTCAGTTCTTTCTCTGCTTTATTACGGGGAAGAAAATCGTCTATGCTTTCAGTCTCTTCGTCGTCTTCTAAGAGTTTTTCTAATCCTTTTTTGGGCTGTGGAATTATTCTTTCACAGCTTGAAACTGTTGGCAATTCGGTATGCAGGCTGATCATCTTTTCTAAAGCTATCTTTTTTGTTTCCTCTGCATCCTCCACATACCGGAGACGAAATCGTGGGTCGCTGAACGTGCTAAGTCTTAATAAAATCATAAGCTCATTATTGTCATATCTATGAAATGGTGACAAAATTTCTACTTTGATCTGCCTCTGCAAATTGCTATCATTTTCCTCTACCTTTAAACATTGTCGTATTTTCCGTAGAAGAGGAAGAACCGATGACATGGTAGTGTAGTTTTCGCCAGAAAGGTTGTTTGTAATCTCCTGTAGTAGATTTGTTGTTGACAGCAATTCTTCTATAGCTCTAATTTCCTCATTATCAAGCATTAGATGTTTTTTAGCTGAATGAGTTTGAAAGAGCTTGCATAAGGGCAATTAGTTGTCCAAAAATCTACGGCAAAGCTTCATTATGCTCCACCACCTTGTTATACATGCGCTGGGCAAGGAAACAACTTTCATTTGAAGAAACTCTTGGGAGTTTTTAAAATCCCTTGCCATCTTCCAGCTATGTGCGATTGAGCTTTGAAGCTTTCTCAGTCTTGTTACAGCTTTATTTAACACTGGAATTTTCAAAGCTTTATTAATTCCTATATTTATTGTGTGTGCAAAACATGGCATATGAGGTAAGTTTAATAATTTTATAGCTTCAAGTATATTTGCCCCATTATCTGTAGTACAACAGCTAAGTTCTGGCACTTTAATTTTCCATTCTGTTAATATATCTGTTAAGGTTTCTGCAATATTTTCAGAAGTATGGTCATCTTGAAAAACAGTACAGGAGAGGCAAAATGATTTCAAATTCCATTGAAGATCAATGAAATGTGCAGTGATAGCGATATAAGGGACATTGGCAACTGATGTCCAACAATCAGTTGTTACAGCTATATCTTTTACCTGTATGAGTGATAATTCTTTTTTCACCTTATCAATTGTTTCATTATATAGTTTTGGGATTGCTGTTTATGAAAAAAAATTTCGGCTGGGTTCAAGGTTTTAATCATATTAATGAATGACTGGGATTGAACAATGTTATATGGTTACAAGTTGCCAACAATGAATTGTGCAATTGATTCAGTACACTGTTTTAAAGAATTTCCATCAAGTGGTTGAAAATCAAGCATCGTTTTCTGCTTCTTTTTGGGGGGCAATTCACCAATATGGTCAGATTTTGAGCTTTTGTCATTTTCAGTCTGAAAAATAACTTGTTCAGGATCATCACATTCCTCTTCAGCAGTTGCTGCAACCTGCGTGTATTTATTAACAAGAGAAGTTTGTGAACAAATCATTGGCTGATGACCTGTTAAATTTGTTGCACTCCCACCTTTTGAAGAAACGGGAGCCTTGCATACAATACAAATAGCAATATCGGTTGACACTAACTGGCCTTTTTCATTAGCTGGTTGTCTAAAATGTTCCCAAACAGGACTTTTGGTTTTCTTTTTTTGAAGTAATTGTTCATATTTTGGGCAGTCTAAACCTCGGCAAGTAGGACCCATCTTTCAGCTGCAAAAATTTGAATATTTCTTCTAATTTCAAGTAGAAAAACTAAAATATATTCAAAGTATATATAAAAACCAAAAATATATTCAAAATTTTATATTTTGTACTGAGTAATGACAAAGGAATATAATTAAAAAAAATAGATAGGCTATGTGTAATTTAATTGCAAAATGATATTTCCTTTTAAATTTAGAAACATTAAGAATGTTTTAACTTATCAGTAAAAAAAGAAAAACAAGTTTTGAAACTTTGCTTTTAATTTATTTGGTGCTACTGTAAAATAAAACTGAAACTAAAATTTTAAATATATCTACATTAGAATTTGAATTTTGTGTGAAAAAGAGAGAGAGTAAGATTGCTAGGAGGGAGATATTCAGATAAAATTTTTAGAAAGTGGAAATCTGCCAAAATGCATCAAACTAACATTATACGAATTATATTAATTTTATAGGTAAATATTAACAAGTAAGTGATTTATAATTGAATGTGGGATTAGATATCAATAGAGTTATATAAAAGATAAAATCAATGGGGGGAAAAGTAAAGATAGGAGTAAATTAAATTTATGACTTTTTATAGCTTGGTTTATCAATGTTTTGTAAAATTATTTATTTTAAACGCTTTTTTCTGTTTTTATTTTTAATATTTTCTTCTTTCGAATTTAAAAAAAGCACAATTTTTCAATCTTTAGATTTTGTTGAAAAAAATCTGACATTTTTTAAATAAAAGCAAGAAAAGAAAGAGTGTATTAAATAAATAGTTAGCTAGTGAAATGAATAATTTATTAAAATTTTACATGCTGCTTTGAAAAAAATGAGTAAATTATTTTAAATGAAGAATTGAGAAAGGTAAAAAAAAAAAAATTATCTATCAGCCTTGGCCAACAAAATGTTTTGTTAACTTACAACATTCTCAAAGTTTGTTATGTATCTTAGACAAAAATACATTAAGAAATTATTGCATTACATTAAGAAATAATTTTTCTCGAAAACAATTTGAAAAAAACGATGCATTTTTTTCTTCTGCTTTTATATTTTAAAAAATTTATCTTAGCATGAATATTTCAGCAATTAATACATATTTAATATTTGTGGAGGGGGAAATATTATTTTAGTGTGCAAAAAAAAAAATTACTTTGAATAAATTTTAAACTTAATAATTGGATTCAAAACAGTCTGATTTTTTTAAATTTATTTTTCAGGAACTATTCAACCAATTTCTTTCAACTTTTATATTTTAAAATTACATTCTTTAAAAAAAATTTATATCTTACAGTTCAAACATTTTTCAGTTATTAATAACAAAATAATTAAAAAAAAATGATTATTAAAAACCATTTTGCATGAAATTATCTTTGGATAAACGGATTGGATTTTATAAATGCTTGCTAAAATTTTTCAATTCGAGTAAAAAGTTCTCGACATATAACGAAATACGCAAAAAGTAACAGTGAGAGGTCCTAACTTTTGATTTCGCTCTTGACAAAATTATTAGGACTATATTTCTTAGATTGCGGCCACGGCCTATATTTTGAGGGACGCGCATCATAATCCGTCGAAAAATATATTCAAATAAGTACGTTTTTGTGCTTCACTTCATAATTTAAAATATCGTCTGCTTTTAGCATATTTAAGGTCACTCCCTTGGAACCACTATGATTATGTCCTAATACGTAAAAAACCTAGGACATAGCGGGACCTGCAGCAAAGTATGTCAGCCAATTGTAGAAATGATATCGATACAATTATAAAAATACAGGGTGTCTATAACAGAACTCCGGGATTTTGANTCGGATTCAAAACAGTCTAATTTTTTTAAATTTATTTTTCAAAAACTATTCAATTTCTTTCAACTTTTGTATTTTAAAATTACTTTCTTTAAAAAATTGCAGTTCAAACTTTTTTCAATTATTAATAACAAAATAATAAACAAAATAATTAAAAATCATTTTGCATGAAATTATATTTGAATAAACGAATTTTATAATTGCTTGCTAAAATTTTTTAATTCGAGTAAAACGTTCTCGAGTTGTGGCGAAATACGCTAAAAGTAACAATAACATTGAGTGGTCCCTAACTATTGATTTCACTCCTGACCAAATTATTAGGACAATATTTCATAGACTGCGGCTACGGCCTATATCTTGAGGGTCAGGCATCATAATCCGCAGAAAAATATTTTCAGATAAGTACGTTTTTGTGCTTCACTTCATAATTTAAAATATCACCTGCTTTTAGCATATTTAAGGTCTCTTCCTTGGAACCACAAAGATTAAGTCCTAATCCGCAAAAATCCGATCTTTAGACCAAAAGTTATTCTGGGTGATTCGAAAAATGCAGAACATCACAAAGCAACCTAAGATTTAGCGGGACCTGCAGCAGTATAAGCCTGTCGCAAAGTATGTCAGCCAATTGTAGAAATAATATCGATAGAGTTATAAAATTTAAAAGAAAATTTAAAATGCACATTGAGCCAAGAATTATAAAAATCTTCATAAACAGAAAAATAAAAAAGATGATTAAAAAAATGGATTGGGGCAAATAGAAAACTTAGAACAGCTGATGCGGTTTAACCTCCGACCTTTTCATTCTCCAGAATTTATTTACTACCTTCAATATTTTTGAGGAAATGGAGAAAAATTAGTATAGAAACAAAATTTCCTGGAAAAGAATTCGATGGGAATTAATATTATGGCTTCAATAATGTGAAAATCAATAATTTAAAGATTTAATTTTATAATTATAGTCAACCAAATATATTATTATATTGATAAACTATATTTCATGAAAATAAAATTTAACTGCATAATCTTATAAAAATCGTTATAAATAAAGAATGATTTGAGAAAGATCGAATAGCTATCAAACCGAAAATGATGAATGATCATGGAATGACGAAATCGAAACGATTGTCTTAAAAAGAAACTTTACATATAATAAGTTGTCAATATAAAAACGAGTTTGCCAAAATTTTTTGTAAAAATATTAGATTTTTTATATTTTCTAACAATAATAATTATCTTTTAAATGGAGTAGTCTTAACACAAAATTACGTATGTGAAAATTTTATCCATATTGAAGAAATGCAAATTTCAGATTTAACTAATAAATAGTTCAAATAAATAAATAAAAAAACTTACCGGAACAGATATCCGTCAAACAAAAATGATCTTTTCTTCAACAAAACAAAACTAATTTGAAAGTATTATCGAATAACAAAGCATCAATCATCTACAGAGAATCACTTTCGTTTAATGGATTTGCCCGATTTGAAGAAAGCACTTTTTCGTCCTTAGATTCGTTGGCGATGAGTTAGTTTCACTCATAGTCACATCGGAATTCATCGTGTCAGCACATTCGCGAAGGAAGAAACACATGGGGAAAAGATCGTCACGACAATCGATGTCGGCTCGCGATCGGGGGAAAATGCTCTTCACGCGTGCTTGCGAACATCGATGTTGGAGAGGGAGAATCGTGCTTCGTGGCATCGGAAAACATCGATGTCCACCAGGCATCGGAAAACATCGTGCTCACATCGGAATTTACGATGCTTCGAAAAAGAATCAAACTAAGCATCGGATCGGCGATGATTGCACAACATCGATGTTTTCCGATGCATCGATGTATCGCCCAGTCCTAGTGGTAATTGGAATAGAAAAGGGGCATTTTGCCTCTATATACATGTAGGGCTGTATATAGAGGCAAAAATCTACGATTTTTGTAAAAACTTATTCTAATGGTAGCTGACTTAAAGTTTTGATGTATTATTTTTTATTCATTTAAACTTATATTTTTCACACCGGTATATGTAAATGATTTAAAAGTTTGCATGCCAACAGCTTTTACCCGTACTTCCTGTAGATACCACTGCTAAAACCAACAGCGGACAGTCATTCAAACTGCGCACTACAATGTTACACTTCTGTAGCTTTAGGAATAATTTTGACTATTTAAGGTGGAAAATTAAGATATTTAAATCCATTCGTATAAAAAAACAGTTGTCATTTTAACCATTTGCACTCCTATGCCACCTCTGAATAGACATAGAAAGTCGCCACTCTAAAATTTAAAATCTTAATAATCAGTAACCATATTATTTTATGGTTATCGATTATTAAGATAATCGATAATAAATTCGACCTAAATATAGCAACTGATTTAGGATGGAGGGAATATGCAGTTTAGATGATTTAGTATTTACATTACTGCAAATATATTAAACTAATCGGAGTAACGCAGTGTAAAAAAAAATTCCTATTTTAAAACTACTTCCTATTCTTTACACACAAAAAATACACCATATTAAGTTTTTTTAGTAAATCCCTAGTACACAGCTTAAAATATAATAAAATATATTAAAATATTGATTATTAAATATAAATTTGTAAAATTTGTTGAACAAATTAAAAGATTGCTTATAATTTAAACTATTACAAATAAACTCAATTATCCTTACTGATACGAATTCATTTAAAAATATAATAAATTCTTTATTTTGTTAAAGAAAACTATATTGTATTTGATAAATGAAAAGGAAAATAAAAGAAGTTGATCAATTAGAATTCCAACAATTTCAAAATACTTCTGCTCAAATATTTGAGTAACGGTTGCTTAGCNGAATTATATTAAATATATTAAAATATTGCTTATTAAATATAAATTTGTTGAACAAATTCAACAAATTAAAAGATCGTTTTTAATTTAAACTATTACAAATAAACTTAATTATCCTTACTGATTCGAACTCCTTCTCATTATTTATTCTAAAATATAATAAATTCTTTATTTTGTTAAAGAAAACTATATTGTATTTGATAAATGAAAAGGAAAATAAAAAAGTTGATCAATTAGAATTCCAGCAATTTCAAAATAGTTCTGCTCAAATATTTGAGTAACGGTTGCTTAGCAACGATTATCTGAAGTTGAAAATTCTCATTTTAAGCTGCAATTTTAAAGCGGAATATTAATGCGTCACTCTTAAAATTAATTAGGAAGTTCTTGAACTTTACTCTTTAAAATTTGCACTATGCGCGGAATATTTATTTAGATTTTTCTTTTATTTTAAACTGCTTAGAAAAATCTTTCAGGTCTTTAAGAAATCCTCTTTAAAAAAGATATTTTGCAAATATTTTGTAATGTGATTTATTTGTTTACAATAACAAAATATTTCTCGTAAAATTTTTTAAAAATATCGTCACAGCCTGCATTAAAAAATTCATTGAATTATAATGTACTGATAAAGAAAATTAGATATTAAAGAAACTCATATCAGTCAGAAACTCAAATGTGCAAATAATGTAAACGTAAAATAATTTTTATTATTTAATATATATCCTGAAATATTTTTTTGAAAACTTCAAAAGTTATTTTTCGTTTAAAAACATTTTTCAGGCCTTTTATCTTTAAAACGTTCCCGCCGGGCGTTGCGCCTGAAAGCGGAACGGAAAAGAGAAAATACTGGTAGAAGAACTATTTCAATATTAGATAATATTCAGGAGGAGTTAGTCTATCCTTAACAATAACAATTCACTGTAAGGAAATTTATCACGGCGAAGAAGCAATTCAATATAAAAATTGCATCCGTTAAAAACAATTGGTAGCTATGGATTTTTATTATTCCCTGGAAAAACTAAAAAATGACATTTATTGTTCCCAGTTTTTACTCCGGTGCGCTGCCAAGATGAGACAATCTAGCGTGACCCACCGGTGGGTCACCATTTTTTTACTTACGGGTTTTATTGAACATCTAAAACAATAAATTAAAACAACAAGTATCAGATCAAATGCAATCAATTACTGCCAGGGATGAATGCAATATGCTTGTCATCTTTTAGTATATCGGTAATCGTAAATTATTATTTATTTATGCTTATTTCGATTAGATGTATCTGTTTAGAAAATCTTCCTTGTCAATTTTTCGCATTATTTTTCCCAATACCAGCAAAAATTGTGCATTATTGATTTATTTTTGGTACAAAAAATAAGATTTAAAAGAACATTGACCACCATTATATAATAAGTGGCAAATTTACCTTCAATGCTTGAGAAATCAAAAATACTGCCGCCTATACCTATTGTATTCAAGGCGTTGAATGCCAAGATTATTAGTAACACATAATTCAAGTAAATTTTTTTATATTATTATCGTTACTAAAATGGTTTGAAGAAATTAATGCAACGCATGCTGAGAAAATCATTTTGGCCAGACGGGCAAGCCATGTAAATTTAGAGTGGTATTGAACGTGTTAATTATCTAAGCATTTTGCAAAATTTTTTTAGGCTATATTTCATGAAAATNAAATGGCGCAGTTATGCCGTTTTGTCTCAGTTTGTCGCAAATGGCGCAGGCGTAGCATCCCTGAACGTTACTAAAATATCTGTGTATGTGATAATGCATTTCAGAAAAATGACAATCGCACTAAATTATGACAAAACATAAATCAATGTGACGAAATTTTATGTCAAATATTATTTTAAAGTTAATTAAAAACCTCACTCCCAGGATTGTTTTATATGCTTATTTCAATTTTAGTTAAAGAAGATAAAAATTCTTAAGTTTCAAAGTTTAGATTTTTTTTATTAAAATTAATACAAAACAGAAAAAATTTTGTACATGGTTCCCACGGTTCTTGGAAAAAAAACTTAGTACAGGTAGTACATTTAGGCTAACGATAGAAGATATGTCTAAATTTAATACACCACTTGGATGTTAAGTGGTTTAAAAAGATCATCATCGAAATATAACTGGGCGCCTGGGGCCGTTAGCGGCCTTTTTCTCATTCATCTTGTATTTAATCTTTAAGGTCCCATTCATCTTGTATTTAATCTTTAAGGTGGTTCTTTCTGGTAATTGGAATAAAAGGAAATCATATATTTTGTATTTTAGTTAAAATTATGTCACTACAAAAATGAGCTGCAATCGGCCTGAGGTTTATGTCTTCTCTTAAGTTTTCGAACGTAAAAATTTCGTTGAATCCTGCGGTGTCACAATATATGGTCTTTTCAAAAAATCTGAAGTTTTGCTTTGCANTTTTGGATTAATATTGTGCTTTTGATGTGATCATTCCAGGTGAGTTTGCTATTGATTATAAGGCCAAGATAATTTGCTTTTTTAACTATTGGTATTGGTATGTTGAACATTTTTGGTTGAAGTTGTGGAAGTATTTTAATTCTTCTTTTTTGTATAATTAATATTTGTGATTTTCCAGCATTTACTGCAGTTTTCCATTTTAAGCACCAGTCTTCTATTTCGTCTATATGGTCTTGTAGTTTTTGAAGAGCATGATTTGGGTTTCTGGATTTAATAATAATACCGGTATCGTCTGCGGTTTAAAAAGATGTAATTTTCTTGCACATATACTTTCTGTGGAAAACAATTTTTAGTGGTAGTTACACAGAAATTAAATTATCGACATTTATTTAACTTTCGTTCCCACTTTTTAAAATTTACACGACCGCGGGAACCCTGTTGTATCATAAAATTTGTTTGAAATTGTTTAAAAATTTAATCCAATAGTCATTTTTATATGGAGAGTCACCATACGGGGTGAATTACTCTTAGTGTTCAAAAATCGAGCATTTGTTCCTTTTTATATTTTTAGCATCCCCTCAGTACATCTCGTTTCACGTCATGTACTGAACTGACTACTCGCTTGGTTAGTTATAAAAATGGCACATCTAGACCAAATGGCTATAAATCTCTACAAAATTAAATACTTGAAAATGCCCCACGCATCTGAAATTGCAATCTTTTTTGAAGAAAATAAGAGATCAGCAAAACCTAAAAAACATTTTTATAATGAATTTTACAAAGCTTAAACAATACAAAACACTTCATATGAAAACAAAAAAATAACATTCATGCAAATCGAATGGATTGTACGGAAATATCGTTTGCAATGTATAGAGTGTCAAAACGAGAAAGTGGCCACAAGCGATGCCTGAACTCGATGAAGTGCTGCCCATTAACTGCAACCATGTACTTATTCTCAGTGACACGTATTATCATATCGAAATGACAGATACTGTTGAAAGGGAAGGATGCTGAGAGCGTTTCTTCGTCATGCCATGCGTTGTTGGTGCGAGTGTTTCTTACAATTGATTGATTGAAGAAACGGACATCGAAGTGAAAAGCAACATCGGGAGGAGCATATGGTGAAGTACCGGCCTGAAGATTGATTGTGAATCTGTTAAACAAAAATAACACATGTAACATGATACAGCACAGATATAAATATAACCAAAAATGGCAGAAATCGGTAGCTGTTAATGCCACTTGCCTATACAGCAAGGGAATTTAGTAATTTTTTCAGTGGTGCCATCTATGGGCCATGATTTCAACTTCAGTCACATATAAACGTCACAACCCGTTTCACAAGGCGGACCTTTTCACACACTTTTCATCCATCCACAGATCCTAATTTTGACCTGAACCAGAGAATGATCAATCTCCAATTCAGTGCCTTCAGTAGTACTATACTTAGTAATATAACTATAGTTTGTTATAACAATTTGTGACCTGACAGATTTAACGTGCACCAGTCACCATTTAGCAAATCTTCAGCGGCGGGAACCGAACTCACGACCCCTTGGACATAGGCTCAACGCCCTACCAGCCAGGTTATCCCGGTTCTCAAAATAAATATACTCCAGGGCTCGAAAAAACCCGTCCCCGAGGACGGCTTGTTCAACAAATTGACCGCCGAGGACGGGCGGTTTTTCGAACCCTGATATACTCGTTATACCGATAAAAGGAATGTTTATTAAAGTTTTGATAAAAATACAACGATATGACTACACTATTCCCAAATACTGTCATACCTGTCAATTTGACCATTTTATATTTCATTTTATTACCGTCATTGAACAGCCTACCCAATTTTTGGGTATGCGACTACTAATGTTCAACTCCGTAGCCTTGTAATTTTGAACCCAATCCAGAAGACAAGGGAACTCCTGGATCAAGTATTGGGAGAAATTTGCCTTCGTGGAGGACTTTTTGATGAAACTAACCCGCATTTGCGTTACATGGAGAGGAAGACAACGAGAACCTCCCACGGTTAGCCTGACGGCATGTGTTAATAGTTATTATTTAATTCAAGTGACATTAAATATTTCGTCGAAGAATGACAAAGATTCATTAAAAGAAGTATAAACTATAAAACCACTCTTCTTAAAATATTTGCCAATATAATAAGCTACAGACAACGAAACGAAACAAAAATAAAATAGTATTTCTATATTTTAAAAAAATGAATTCTAAGTCAATAACTCAATAACCTATCATACGTCACAACAGCATTAGTTCTAGGTTTATTTTTAAAAAGAATCAATAAGTCAAATACAGATGTGCGGATTGGAGATTAGAAGGCTCGACAGAGATTTTAACTATTTATATTTTAAGCCGTTCATGTTCAATTAATTCTGAGACCTAAGCTTATTCTGGTAACATTATATTTTTGTGTTTCAAACTAGGTTTGTTTTATCAAAACAACGTTTGTTTAAATATACAGCATTTTACGTTTTTAATGGAACCTAGGTTACTTTTTTAATTCAACAAATAACTGTTTTACTTTATTGTCAACCATGAAAGAAATATGTTTGACTTAAAACAAAAAAGAAAAATTACACCAAGTATGCGTCACAGCGGGTCACTGATGAAAGTTTTTTTATAAAATTTAAAGTTTATTTATTGCACGTTAGTGTGTTTATCTTTTTTATTTATATAATCCAATTTCATCTCTCTTAATCCATGAGAGCTACAAGCACATTTATGAAGCATAAAACTCCAAACCGGATCGTCAAATTACTACTTCTATTTTTACGATTTTAGGCTAATATTTTTTGAAAAACTAGTGGGCTGCGCCCCCTGCTCGCCAACCCCCGAAAATTTCTACGCAATCTTATATGGTTATCTCGCTTCGCTCGCTACTAACTTAGGTACATTGCAAATGCACAAAATTCTAAGAATTCAAAACAATCATTCAAATCCATATTAAAAAAAAAAAAATTTTTTTAAAAATTACATCTTAGTAAGAGAATTATATATATTAGATATTATTGAGTGCGCTGCATTGTGCATATCATAATATAGAAATGAGTAGAAACTAAGCAAAAATAAAATTTTGGAAATTACACAGTGTTGATTTCTTTCAATAGTCTGTAAGTATATCATTTGGATTGACTGGTAAAACTTACTTGTTAGGGTTCGTAGTAGGTTTACCACTAATGTATATCATCATGCCTGGTCTTAGGCCTCCACACAAAGGATAAGCATAAGGTATACTCTGTAAAAAAGAAATACACAACCAGTATCATTACATAATTTTCTTTATTCTTGTTTGAAATATTTAAACCTTAGACTTCCTCAATATCAGTTTAAATTTTTGTTGAAGGTCGTATCTCCTAAAAAAAGGCGGGAAACTACTGTTTATCACCTTTGATTAGAAAAATTGGCGACAAGCATTAACTTAGATTCAATAGAGTTCTGAGTTAGTATCCAATAAGTTTTAAAATCGGTACCCCCTGATGTTTATATTTCGAGGGAAATATCTAGTATATATTCAGGGGTCTGTCCAGACATTTTGTGAAAGGTCTGTTTTTGTAAAATTGTGAAAAAAAATTACTCGTAATTTGTGAATATAAAATGAACTTAAAGTCACATTCCTTCAACCAGGGTCCGTTTTTAAGAATTTGGGCAAATAGGGTCCGTTATTTAAACCTTTCCAAGGATTTTTTAAATTGTAAAGACATACAAGATTATGCTCAACATTGTAAAATTATAATTGAAAAATAAACAGCAATTGCTGCTTCTAAATTAGAGTTCTAAAATACATACAGGGTGTCCCAAAACGACCGCATAAACTCAGCACAGCTAGATTCCTCGTTGGGAGTACATAAAAACTGAAGAAGCGTTCCCGCACGATCCGTAATTTACGAGAAAAATACGAAAAACAAAGTATGACATCACTGCCGGTGCAAGAAAAAACACTTTATTGAACATATCAACAGCAGTATACTATGCACAATTTAAAGCAGAATATGAGCGGTGAACGTTTTAAACATTATCGTCTTGAAAGATATGCAAATACTGTTGTTGATATGTCCAATAAAGTGTTTTTTTCTTGNGTTAACGAGGAATTACGCAAAAAAAAAAATAGTTAATGTAAAAAAGAAAATTTTAAAAATATTGCAGTATTCAACATCTTATTTGTGTGAATTCGAATTTTCAGTATTAACCAACATAAAAGGAAAAAAAAGATAGAGATTGTTAAAAGTAGAAGACGATATGAGAGTAGCAATACCGATCCAATATTTATGACCGATCTAATATAAATGAAATTATCCAAAAACATCAAACTTAAATTTCTCATTAAGAGTATTGTTATTAGCTTGTAATTAATCCCTTAATCAGGGGTCTGTCCAGACATTTTGTGAAAGGTCCGTTGTGAATATAAAATGAACTTTAAGTCACATTCTTTCAACCAGGGTCCGCTTTTAAGAATTTGGGCAAATAGGGTCCGTTATTACAAGAAAACATTTCCAAGGATTTTTTAAATTGTAAAGACATACAAGATTATGCTCAACATTGTAAAATTAAAATTGAAAAATAAACAGCAATCGCTGCTTCTAAATTAGAGTTCTAAAATACATACAGGGTGTCCCAAAACGACCGCATACACTCAGCACAGCTAGATTCCTCGTTAGGAGTGCATAAAAACTGTCCAAAGAAGCGTTCCCGTACGATCCGTAATTTACGAGAAAAATACGAAAAACAAAGTATGACGTCACTGCCGGTGCAAGAAAAAACACTTTATTGAACATATGAACAGCAGTATACTATGCACAATTTAAAGCAGAATATGCGCGGTGAACGTTTTAAACATTATCGTCTTGAAAGACATGCAAATACTGTTGTTGATATGTCCAATAAAGTGTTTTTTTCTTGCACCGGCAGTGACGTCATACTTTGTTTTTCGTATTTTTCTCGTAAATTACGGATCGTACGGGAACGCTTCTTTGGACAGTTTTTATGTACTACCAACGAGGAATCTAGCTGTGTAGAGTTTATGCAGTCGTTTTGGGACACCCTGTATAGCAGGGCTCGAAAAAACTCAGAAATTTCACCCGTCCCCGAGGACGGCTTGTCCAACAATGTACCCGTCCTCCTTTGAAACTAACCCGTCGCTTCTAAATAAATAAAAATATAATTTTCTCTTATTTATTACAAACATTTATATAAATTGCACAATGAATTAGTAGTTACTAGGATTACAAATACTAGGATT